TGCACACATGTTCATGCATGCACATATCCATGTATACACACACACACACTCACACACACACACACACCCCAGAGGAGAAGAAATCATCAGAGAAATAACCCAAGAAAAATTCTCAAAACAGAAAGGTATATATATCATCAAATGCAAAGGGCCCACCTAATGCCCAGCACAATAGTTGAAAAACAGAACCACAGAAAAACACAAGTACATGACATTCAAGAGCATTAGGAACAAAGAAAATCACAAAAGACCAGAAAAGCAAGCAGGCCATTTACAAAGAATCAGGAGGCAGAATGCTTGGAACCCAGAAAAAATGAGGCATTGCTTTCAAAAGTCTGAGAGAAAATTATGTATGACTTAGAATTCTACTTGTTTATCCACGAAATTTAAAGCCAGAATGAAGATATTTTCAGACACAAATTGCCTAAAGAACTTACCTCCTATGCACAGTATCTTGGGAAGCTGGGGTAGAAAATGTACCAGCAAAATAAGGTGGCACAAGGTACAAGAAGACATAGGAAACAAATTCAACTCAAGACAAAGGCAAAGACCCCCTTAGGTCAACACTGAAGAGAAGTTCTGGGAAGAGAGCGGTGCAGAAGGCATAGAGTGCAGTAGGATCAGAGCAAGCCGGAGGGCTCAGGAAAACATTTCTCCAAGAAGATAGAAATGAATTCACAAGTCTGAGGGGAGGAGATTTAGAGAACCATGGAGGGTTTGTGATTGAACTAATTCTACTCTAGAAAACATTGAGGGAAGAAGAATGTACAACAATGATTAACCTCAGAGAAAACAAAAAGTTGTGCAAGAAAGACTAAACAGTACACCACAGGGCTCATCTGCGAGTGTTATTTAACACCATCTGCACGCTGGGATGGCGGCAATGGGAAGTGTGTCTGTACATGGCAGTGCAGTGCTGAAACTGAGTTCAATGTTTATCTTCCATGATAGGAAGTCAGTAGATAATGTCCGAAATGGAAATATTTAAAAATAACAATATAATCATGATATTTAGAAATAGGAAGACCAGGCTGGGCACGCAGCTCAATTGTAAAGTGTATGCTTAGCATGCTTGAGGCCTAGGGGACAAAAGAGAAAGGGACAGAGACAGAGAGGGGCGTTGGAGGGGGGGAGAGAGAGAGAGAGAGAGAAAGAGAGGAAGAGAGAGAGAGAAACATAAATAGAGAGAGAGAGAGAACGAACCAGGTGTGGCAGCACACACTTTTTAAAAAAATATTTTATTACTTTTCATTTTATTTTATGTGTATGCATGTATTGCCTGCATGTAGGTAAGTGCACCCATGCCATGCAATGGCCATGGAGGTCGGAAGAGGGCACTGAATTACCCTGGAACTGAAGTTAACAATGGTTGTTAGCCACATGTCATGAGGGTGATGGGAACTAAGCCCAGGTCCTCTGCAAAAGTAGTAAGCGCTCTGAACCACTAAGCCATCTCTCCAGCCCCACAATTTTCTTTATAAATACATGAAAATGCATTGATATATAAAAAATTACATTTACAAATAAGTTTGTGTACGTATACATACACATGCTTACATGTGCAAGTAGGCTTGTTTAGGTGTGCAGCATGCTCCCCAG